CATCATCGTTCTTATCGAATAGTTATGCAATTAACTCAAAATTGTATCTAATCGGCTATAATGGGGAATTACGAGATATTGAGGATTTAATGCCTTATAAGTATTTAAATGATTTTAATAATTTATCAGTCGATAAACTGAATTTATACCACAACGTCAACCACAAATCTGTCTCTGTGGGGCGTTTAATAGATTCATTTATAACAGACCAATATGGTGCACACAATTGCACAACATTACCAGGATCGAGCGGCTCATTAATGATTGATCCTACCGGAAAACTTATTGGTATACATATAGGTGTAACTAATTCACGTAGAGGAAAAACAGATGAAATGTTTTTTACTAAAGAAACGTTCAACAGATTCATACCAATTTATTCAAAAGAATTTCGTGCTTTTATTGATGAAACAATCTTACCAACTATTCATAATGATACATTGTCAAAAAATTGGAAATATGTTCCAACTCAAGATATGGACGACTAACAAAATGTCATTATCAGCTTTTCTTTTTTCTTTTTTGTTTGTCGTATCATGAAAATATGTGTTGTTCATCAATTACTATGGTATTTAAGTCGTATCTCTTGTATAAACTGCATTAACAATAAACTCTTCTTTTTTTGAACATAAACTCATGTCTTTAGATTCTTGTACAATTGTTCTTTTTGTAATTTTCGATATAACATCATCGACAAAATAGATGACTGATTCCAATCTATATTCTCAAATGAGTATCGATCAGATATGATATTCGTTCACTTTCCTGTATTCTTAATCGCAATACATCATCATTAGAATCAGGTATTTTGATTGACGGATGTGTATCCATAAAAGTCATTTATCTTTTATAATGCTTGTTTAATCTCTTTAGTTATATTAACAACAACCTAATAAGTTATTGATGAAATCTTGAAGTATTGTTCATGGTCTATCGCCAACTCGAGGTTAAAACAGTAAGAGTAACTGAGACGATAACCTGTGCTTTTAATGAGATTAGAAAAAATAGAATTCTTTTAATCTGATGGCTAATTTGGTGCCTGTTATTTGAGTGACAGAACGTAGAGACGTAAGCTGAGGATTTTATTAGTGACATTGGCTGCAAATTTTTAATTTTTTTTATGTTAGACAACAGCTGATTCGATTCTATGCACTCTTAGGCGATGGCCGCGAGGTGGTTAGACTCCTGAACGTCGGCCACGGCAGCTCAGTCACTCGTAGAGGTGGCACTTTAACTTTAAAACCACTTTTCAAAAGTATTAAAGTTTTAAAATGTTTTACTTTAAACTCTAATTAAAGTTTAAAGTTGTAAAGTGTTCACTTTAATTAAAGTTTAAAGTAAAATGCTTTAAACTTTAAAAAAGCTAAAGTTAAAGTGCTTGTGCCATGGGTAAGAAACGACCATGCCCAATTCTTGGGTCCTCGTCTAGCTACTCTAGCGGGAGTACTTGGGCCCTCATATGGCTACTCTAGCGGGGTTACTTGGGTTCTCATATGGCTATCATAGGAGGAGTACTTGAGTCCTTATATAGCTATCCTATGAGAGGTACTTGGGTCCTCATATGGCTATCCTAGTGAGGATACTTGGGTCCTCGAGTGCTATACTATGGAGGTACCCTGAGGTCCTGAAGAGCTATACTATTGGGGTATCCTTAGGTCCTCAAGGCTTGTACTACAAGGGTACCCTTGAGTCCTCAAGGGCTGTACTATGGAGGCATCCTTAGGTTCTCAAGTGCTATACTACAAGGATAGCCTTAGGTCTCAAGGCCTGTACTATAAGGGTATCCTTAAGTTCTCAAGTGCCATACTATAGGGGTATCCTTAGGTCCTCAAGGCCTCTACTATGGGGGTAGCCTTAGGTTCTCAAGTGCTATACTATAAGGATAGCCTTAGGTCTCAAGGTCCGTACTAAAGGAGTACTTTAGGCCTTCAAGAGCTATACTATAGGGGAACCCTTAGATCCTCAAGGCCTTATACTGTGAGAGTACCCTTAGGTCCTCAGGAGCTATACTATGGGGGTATCCTTAGGTCCTCAAGGCCTATACTATAGGCTACGGTATAGACCTTGAAGACCTAAGAGTACTCTCACAGTATAAGGCCTTGAGGACCTAGGGGTTCCCCTATAGTTTAGCTTTTGAAGGCCTAAAGTGCTCATTAAGTACAGGCCTTGAGACCTAAGGCTATCCTTATAGTATAGCACATGAGGACCTAAGGGTATCCCTATAGTATACGCCTTGAGAACCTAAGGCTACCCCCAGAGTAGAGGCCTTGAGGACCTAAGGATGCCCATATACTATGACACTTGAGAACCTAAGGATATCATTATAGTACAGGCCTTGAGGCCTAAGGCTATCCTTATAGTGTAGCACTTGAGGACCTAAGGATGCCTCCATAGTACAGCCCTTGAGGATCTAAGGATACCCTTATAGTACAGGCCTTGAGGGCCTAAGGATACCCCTATAGTATAGCACTTCAGGACCTCAGGGTACCTCCATAGTAAAGCTCTTGAGGATCCAAGTGTCCCCACTAGGATAACCATATGAGGACCCAAGTACCTCTCATAGGATAGTCATATAAGGACTCAAGTACCCCTCTTATGATAGCCATATAAGGACTCAAGTACCCCTCTTATGGATAGCCCTATAAGGACCCAGGTACTCCACCTAGGATAGCCATATGAGGACCCGAGTATCCCCGCTAGGGTAGTCGTATGAGGACCCAAGTACTCCCGCTGAGGTAGCTAGACAAGGACTCAAGAACTGGGCATGGTCGTTTTCTTACCCATGGCACAAGCATTTTAACTTTAACTTTTTTTTAAAGTTAAAGTTTTAACGTGTTTCACTTTAATTAACGTTTAAAGTTTTAAAGTGTTTTACTTTAACTTTAACTTTTAAAGTAAAGTTAAAGTGTCACTTTAACTTTAACCTTTAAAGTAAAGTTAAAGTGCCACCTCTAGACCCTACTCGATAGTCTCTACCGGTCGATCACTGGCGCCAGTTCCATTTATAATATAAAATATCACAGCTAGATTTTCTTCTTCATTTTGAAAATATTGATTAGTTGTTATTGAGTTCTTTTTGTTCATTATCGATCAAAAATTTATTGTTTCTTTTTTTTTTTAATAGACATTTATTATCATCATTTCTCAGTGAAGTTTATTCACATGATCCACCTGCTTGATTACTTAATCTTAATTCCAGTACCTTGACATCTAATAATTCATTAGTAGTTCTTTATGTTGATCATCCATCAACCGAATTAGTTGATCAAATTATTCAAGGTTCACATCGATTAACTGCTGCACAAGTACCAGAATTTGTTGGACTTGCTGCTACAATTCTTAAAAAATACAAAGCTTAAGAAGATAATAATAAAGATGCCGATGCTGTATATTTAGTTATTTTATTTCCCTCTCTCATTTATAGAAAATTAAAGATTTTCAACGAGCTATTTTAAAATTTCAAAATAATCCATCTAAAACTGAAAAATAATGTTACAACAGGTGGATTAGCTTCATATGCGCAATTATCTTTATATGATGATAAAGTACAACGTTTAGTTACTAGTGATCAAGCATCATTAGAAGTTCAATATCATGCATTAAATGTAATTCATCATATATGTGAAGATAATATTGATAAACATGGTCCATTAACAATTCGAACAGATCTTAAAACAGTTTTATTATAAAAACTTCAAAATGAATCATGCTCGTATATGGGCATTTGAAGCATTATATAAATCATTTATTTACAATTCAGAAGAAGATGAATCAACATTGGTTGATAATTTAGAAAAAGCTCTTGCTGCTATTCTTAATGAACCACTTGATCAGATAAGAAAAAAACAAAATTTTTAGAAGCAAAGGTGAAATGGGTTGTTACGCTTCACATTCCCATTCCTCTTATATAAAAGATGATTCTGAAACAAGGAGAAAGCTTTTTATAGCTTGGTCAAAGAGATAAGGTCAATTATTATTGATTTATTTTTCTGAGTCAATGGTTTTATTTGATCAGCACTTAAATATTCGTCACTTGATCGTTTTTGTCTATTATGTGGTCTTGCATCTCGACTTCGTGTACATCATAATCATAAAAAACAATTTTTAGAACAAGCAACATTATCATCACGTCAAATTCATATTGATTTACCACTTCGTAAAAATTCTTGATCTTGTATTGTATTTAGAAATGATCGAGTTGCACCATAATTTATTGATATTAAATTAGCATTTGATGATATTCATCGTGAAATACTTCGTTTACTATGAATGGATGCTGCATTTGTTATTGAAAATCTTGTTTGGAATTTTGCTGATTATTTCTTACGTTTAGATCCATTTAAATAAAAATAAAAAAATGTTGATTATGATGATGATTATAGTATAATCTAGACATCCATCGCAGTCTGCGGTAGTTTGGCAAGATTTCTATCATCTCTACGATAACTTCTTACTAAAAACTTGCCAACACAGTCCGTTCGGGACCAAAACATGGAACTCACATATCCTCATAGAAAATGTATTCAATGATCTGTAACTATCGCCTCCCCTTCTGTTGCTAAGGAAGATGCACGTATTGATTTTTATTGTCACCATTCCTCTCGCTACTAAGAAAAATGTACTCAATGATCTTTGATCACCGTTGCTAAGGTCTGTAAGGATAATGTCTGTGCTTTAGTTTCGTTACTATGTTTTCTGTTATTGTCTGTAATGTATCGTTGCTAAGCGTGTCTGTCATGTCTTTGATATGTCGTTATTAAGCATTCTTGCCACGTTCGTGATATGACGTCGCTAAGCATATCTGTCACGTCTGTGATGTGTCGTTGCTAAGCTTGTCTATCACGTCTGTGGGAGAACGGGGGTGGTGGGTCCAAATTTCTACTCTAAATACTTCAACACTCCTTTTAGGTCGTGTTTCACAAAAACTTGGATATGTAAGTTTTATTTTAAATTGTTCAACCACGAATAAAAAAAGATATTATTTTTTTTTTCTTAGGCTTATGATCAAAAAAGAAGAATGTCCAGATCCATCTGTTCATCTTTATTTTAAATTATTTGATGGTGATATACGTTCACGTGATGTTACAGATAAAGTTCAAGATATTCTTCATAGTAATTTACGTAGATTTGTTCGTAATCAATTATTAAATCGATTAAAAGATCTTACTGGAGAAAATCCTCAATATCGTTTACCATTATAAATAGGTGCAGGATCAGCAACAGCTAATGGTTTAACATTATATAAATCAGTTCAACTTGGTTTTGTTGTTGATTTAACAATTGAATTAAAAAAATACTTGTGATCATTCTGACTTCGAAATACTTTCATTGACTAGTCGATTAGCGTAAGAATTTTATTTATTTATTTTTCTATTGAATTTGTTTGTTTTTTTAAGATTGAGTTTTTCATTAACACTTCAAGGTGAAGTATGATCACCATTGACAAGTATTGGCGAAAGAATAGAAATTGGTATTTTATCAAATCTTCGATTTGAATATTTCAGCTGTTACTACTAATCAAAGATGAACACGTGAATTTAATTTTCTTAATGAAAAACCAAGAGCTCTTTGCAACTGAGTAAACATTTTCATTTTCTTTTGTTAATCAATTTCAACGTTTTGTTTTTCTAGTTTCCAATATTCATAGGGTACATGAAAAGGTCTTAAGGCTGTAGCAAATCCAAAACGAACTGTTGTTAATCCATGATGTTCATCAAATATTATTCGTCGTTGACTGTGTATATGTGCATTTTTAGAACTTAATCCATTCCGTTCTGTTCAACTTGCTAGTCGACTTTATTATCCAATTACTGAAAGTTTTTCATTTACACTTTGAAAGTAACATCCTCAAAATAGAATATTTTTTATCGATAACACTTAGCAAAGATTCATCAATAAAAAAATGGCGTATTGATTGACGTTTTAATGCTCAATATGGTCCACAATATGAAGTTGTTCTTGAAAAAATTGGTGAAACTGGAAGTTATTCTGACATATTAAAACAAATAATTTAATATTAATAATTATTTTTTTTTATTCTTCATAGATTTGGATGTTTCACCAAAAACAAAACTGACAAGAATTTTGATATTAAAGTTTTAACTGAAATGAAATGATTTCATGTTAAAGATACACAAACAGGTGAGAAATTTTATGGTAAAATATATTCAAATGATAATAAAGAAGTAATGAAAACATCTGATACATTAATTATTAATAATGATCGTTTTAAATTGGAAAGTAAACTTGTTCATAGTTCAAATAAAAAAGAAGTTCTTACATTAACAAGGGAAATTTGATCAAGTCATGGTCAAGGTCTTACAGCTGATATCGGTTTAACAAGACCACATAAAGCAGAATCACTTAAAATACATTGGAAATTTTTTTCTTTAAATTCTTTTTTTCTTATCTTTTTTTGTTTTATATTTAGTTCGTAGAAATTTATATAAACCAAATGAAAAACTTTTTCATATCGATGGAATTTTTCATCTTGATGATAGAACATATAGTGGTAAAGCACATTTAGAACGTAATGATGATCATATACCTAATGAATAACGCCGTTCAATGACATTGGCTAAAAGTTCATCTCAAACTGGCTATCAGTTTGTTTATCAACGTAAAAATAATAAAGAAACTCTTCAAAAGAATTCCAATATTCTATTACATTTAACATAACGAACACCAACTCGTGATGAACCATTAAAATAATTTGATATGAAAGAAGATTTTTACTCGAACACGTCATTTAGCTAATGCAACACTTCATAGTTCACTTGATTTGTTAATATTAAGATGTAATCGATCAGTACAAGAAAGAATTTAACTTGATTATGTTTGATGTTCTATCAAAACAGCTAATCAATTAAGACAATTAATATCACCAGAAGCAAATTTAAAAATCCAAGTTAAATCAAAATGAGGTGCATCCAATTTTATTATTGATTCATAAACATCAACGAAGTTCAAAACCATCAAAAAAAGGTTTGATTCAGCGATCAATATTTTTTTGTATAATGGGGAGTGATAGAGTTTCTACAATGTCTAAAAAAAGTCATCAGTTTATAAGGATCTTTACGGGATAACTAGGAGATTAGAACTTCCGTCTTATACATTACAACTGTGTCAAGGTCTGGAATAAACAATCGACGGTTACTTGTCTCAAATTATCCGAGTTCAGTAGATCATCAAACACATTAGCCTCTGTGGTTCGTTTCGAGTTAATTAGTATGTAAACGAACCTGAAATAATTGACTGAAATGCTAGAAAGACTGCGAACGTTTTCTGTTTCCTTCTCCTAATTAAAACTATCGCGATGAATGAAAGTTAATAAAAGTGGAGTCGAATAGGATAATTAGTTATTTCTAGGTTCAGTTTCAATGCTTTCTATTAATTATCTCTATTCATCGAACTCAATAGCAGAAATGGAAATCGATTGCCTTTATTGGTTTCATCTCTGCTAAATAGTAAGCGTAAGTATAATTGGATTTCCTATAACTTTTCGGTCTATTTAGTTTTCTTTTATCTTCTGAATTGAAATACAAGCTCGTTTAACAGGTATTTTTCGCAAGCATGAATTTTTCGACGAGAGAGGCAAATCAGTTTCTAACAATTTCAACCCATTTTTGTACAGTCGAATCATTATGGTTGAGTAGTTAAGTTATTTAGTACATACTACCGAGGTATTTTGTTCAAGCCTAGGTGCCATTAGACATAAAATGAGCCCGAATAAGTTACTAACGACCATTTCTTCCGGATCATCTATACAATAGCATATTGACTACATTGTAACATACACTGATTCTTGCGGTTAGTTACCGTGTACAAGAAGCTCAAGTGATTGACCGGAAGAATTCTGAATCAGACCAGCCTGCGGTTCATAGTTACAGTTACTAATAGCTGTAGGAAAAGATCTAATTAGGTCTTTTTATATCCAAGTATACCTTTCTTCTTCTCTTTAGGAATTGAAACATTACCACCAACATTTGATATAGAAAATAAAATTCATATTGTTATTGATACTGATAAATTACTTGCTGATATTCCACGTCCATTTGCTTTTGATGTTTTATCTGATCTTGATTTTGAATTACTTAATAAAATTAATTATAAATTTCAATATGATCGTCATCGTCGTCAACGTTCAGCTTCATTTACATATAATGGTCAAGTTGATCAAGTAATTAATAATCATTTATTTTTTGGTAAAAGTACATCAGAATTACCATGGGATAATAAACAAAAAAAAAACGCAACATCAAAAGGAAATTTTATTATTTGTACGAAATGACGTTCATTAGCAACACACTGGGATATTGATACAAGTCTCGTTCAAGATAAAAATCATATGGGACTTGATTTATTTGTTCGTTTTGATTGTCAACCAAAAACAGATTCATCTAAATCATTTATTGGTGTTTATAATGTAGCACTTAAAGCACTTAAAGATGAACCATTTCAATTAATTAATCTTCATGGTAATGTAACAAAACAATCAGAAATATTATCAACATATAATTCAATTACTTAGTTTATTGATGATGCATTAAAAGAAATAAATAGAAAACTTATTATTGATCGTAATACAACTGGTTGATAGTTCATTACAAACACATGTTGCACTTTCATTACCATTGAAGTATTTACCATATATAACACATGATTTAGTATTAGAACGAGATTCAAAATAAGGACGTCTTAATCATATATGATTACAATTACTTGCTTAACCAGTACTTGTTAATTATGCTCACCTTAATATTGATCGTTGAAAAAGAAAAATCAACCACCATTAGTACATATTGATAATGAATTAGAATATTTGTGGTAATAATGATCATTTACATGTTATATCAAATATTGATGTACATCGTTGGTCAACATTATATTCATTTGGTATATTAAAACGAAATACTAATATATTATATAAACGTTCAATTGGTTAGATTTTTTAAAATAAAACACGTAAAGTTGCTTTATCATTAGAAAAAAAAAAGTCCACAATTATTTGAAAATCCATTAAATATTATTGGAGAATTAACAATTGATAGAGAAAATCATATTGGAAAAATGAAATTATCACAAGAATTTGGTGTTCATGTTGAATTTGGTACTCCATTATCCAATTTAACAGCATTTATATTTCTTCTACAACTTACCTTTATTTCATAAAGATGACGATCAAACAGTTGATGCATCCTTGGTTTTAAACCTGCTTCATCAGTACGGGTGTGGGTGTGGGGTGTGGGTGGGTGTGGGGTGTGGCTGTGGGCTGACTAGAAAGAAGGTTCACACCCACACCCACACCCACACCCCACCCACACCCACTTGGTGAAATCAATGAGAAGATCGGAGCGATTATCGAGAAAGAGATTCAACG